CCCCCCCCCCCCTCCCCTCTTCCCCCCTCTGCTAATTGCATTAACTGATTATAATTCTAGAAGGGTGTGTGTTTTGTATTTTGTGCAATTTTCAAAAAACAATTTTGAATCAGGCCTGGTCACCAGGCAAGGAGACAGTGACTTAACCAGGATTTCTAGCCAAAGGCAGCCGGAAAAACTCCTGGCAGCGGCCCAAGCAATTTCACCATGCACTACTTCGAATAATGTGAACACCTATTTGAAGAAGAACCCAGTACCATATTCAGCATTTAGGGGGCTATTTTAATATGTTTTGATGATTCTAAATAACCATTTGACACATAGCAATTCCACTAAATCACAAGCGAATCCAGAACATTTAAAACATAGGAAGATTTAAAATTTCCATTACAAGAAATGAGATAACAAATTCCTGACCGTGACAATGTGTAATTAATTCAGACATTATTTATTATTTTAGATGGCCACGGAAGGAACAAAGGCTATTTTTTTAAAATAAATTTATTTAAACTGAAGATTCGTGTAAATATATATTAGGCGATGAACTTTCAAGCATGGCGCTGCCTCAATCACATCGCTCTGCAGGTGACACTGTGCGGCCCAAGACAATAACTAACAACGTTATTACTAGAAATACATGTATGCAACGACCCCTCGCCTATATTTTCCAAACATTGTTTCAACATGAAGTATTCGTAATTACGTCGAAAATGTATAACCAAACCATGAATAACAGCTTAAGAAAACATTCGTGTAGTTTTACGTCTCAGGGTGGTGATTGTCGTAATTGAAACATCCAATACTTGGTATAAAATTGCAGCCGTCTTTCACAAATAAATCATCACTGACGCTGAAATTGAACACTTCTCTTGGTTGGAGTAGTCCACTCAAGACTGTCGCTTCGGATACATATGCTTCTTTCTTAAGGCTAGTTTCCACTCAAGAAATTTTTGTGGATCATTCGGATCATTTGCTTTTTGTGGATCATTTACATCATTTGCTTTTTGTGGATCATTTGCTTTTTGTGGATCATTTGGATCATTTGCTTTTTGTGGATCATTTGGATCATTTGCTTTTTGTGGATAAGCTTGGATCATTTGCAATTCAAGCCGCCAGAACAAAAATCAAACTTGCGCGTACGGCGCAACCAGCATTATATAAACAATTAGTCATCTGTAGCTATTATTGCGGTGCAGGGGACGTTTAATTTAAGCGATAAATAGTACTGTATTATTTAAAATAAACCTTTTGATATAAACGTTTAGTTGCTTTCATGCAATATACGAAATCCAGGTTGGTGGTCCGTTAATTTGTTTAGAAATAGATCTAATTACATGTGTTCGAAGCTTTCAACACGACACTGAGACTGAAAGACCTGAAAATATTGTTAGACTAGCAAGCTATTTTCGTTGGTTTCAAACAAACAAACGAGCGTAGTCAGCGTCTATGAGGATGATTGTGTGACATATGTGCAGCCTTGCAGTGTTTCGCACTCTCAAATCGCATCCCTCAAAATGCTTCTCATACGAATCTATTAGTCTATTTTGGTATTATATAAAACAAATAATGAATGTTTTTTCGTGCAATGGTAAGAATATTTTCATTCGGTGAAAGATGGAATGTTCCATTCAACTCGGCTGTCGCCTCGTTGAATGGAACATTCCATCTTTCACCTCATGAAAATATTCTTACCATTGCACTCATAAACATTCATTATTTGTATACTGTACTGTACTGTACTGTACTGTACTGTACTGTACTGTACTGTACTGTACTGTACTGTACTGTACTGTACTGTACTGTACTGTACTGTACTGTACTGTACTGTACTGTACTGTACTGTACTGTACTGTACTGTACTGTACTGTACTGTACTGTACTGTACTGTACTGTACTGTACTGTACTGTACTGTACTGTACTGTACTGTACTGTACTGTCCAGGCTATAATTCATGCAGTTAAAATGCTCTCCTGTTCCGACCCGATTGTAAGCAACATTGCTAATGCTGAGATAAACCAAACTGTCCGACTCGCTAGCCGATCTAATCCAACCCCTGCTTTAAAATCAAAATACCTGTCTAGCCTCCACGATGACCGTTTGACCAACTTACGTTATAACATTCAATCATTATGGACCCGAGTTCGTAAATCGACACGTAACCTTGGTGTTGAAATTCAATTCAATGACAATGGTCTCCCTATTCTTTCCACTGAGAACTCTGGTTCTGTTCTTGCTAAAGAAGCCAGTCGTTTCCTTCATTTTCATGTTCAAGATCGTTTTGCTTCCACCTTACTTGCTCTTCTAGATATTGATCAAGGAAAAGTGGGCCGTGCGCTTACTACCGACACCTTCGCCAATGGTTCTACCTGGCAATATAATGGATTAAACATTCGTTTCAGAGATTGGCGTTTCATCCACCGAGCTCGACTTAACTGCCTCCCAGTAAATAATGTCAAGAGTCGTTGGTCTAATTCCTGTCCAAAATGTCGCCATTGTAACTCGGATGAGACTCTCCCTCATGTGTTGTGCCACTGCCTTCGTAACATGCCTAGTATCCTGCGGAGACACAATACCATAGTGGACCGCATCCTCAACGCCGTTCAAAGTGGAACTGTCAACACCGACCAACAAGTTCGCGCCGCTAATTCTCGTCTTCGCCCAGACATAATTGTAAAAGAAGATAACAAAGTGCTTATTATTGATGTATGTTGCCCCTTCGATAATAATGCTGAAGCCCTGCGTGACGCTGAACAACGGAAACTTAATAAATATGAAGGGCTGAAGCAATTCTTCGTTGGTCAGGGAAAGCAATGCGAGGTCTTTGGTTTTGTGATCGGTGCCCTTGGTTCCTGGCATCCCAGCCAATGAAAACGTTTTACGACAACTTTGGATGTCCAAACGATATCGTTCTTTGTTTAGGAAATTGTGTTGCACTGACGCAATCCAAGGATCAACAAACATTTATCGGGAACATCTTGGAATAACAGAGGGTTCTATGGATGCAGATAACTCTGAGTAGCATGCTCAATAGATATTTGTAATCAGTATCTAATTCACATTCTGTACATATAAAGGAACTTTACTTATATATTTGGAACATTATAAATTTATAGAACTTTTAAATTCTTAGGACAAAAATAACTCACTTATATGAACTGATCTTGATACTATGACCATTAATGGCACTAATTGTATATATTGACTAGAACTTAAGCAAGACCCATCACCTGTAAATTAATTTGTAATAAAGAATGAATACTGTACTGTACTGTACTGTACTGTACTGTACTGTACTGTACTGTACTGTACTCTACTCTACTCTACTCTACTCTACTCTACTCTACTCTACTCTACTCTACTCTACTCTACTCTACTCTACTCTACTCTACTTATACTCTCTGCGAGTGCAATGGAATAAAACGTATAGTACAATTGCACTCTTTGTGTTTTCGATAAATCGCATCCCTCAAAATGCTTCTCATACAATG